AGTGTTCCTCGACTTAGGATATTAGATCTAACAACTTCGAATTCAGGTATGAGATGCATTAGGAAGTGCATAATCTTTCTTCTATCAAAATGTTCCTTCATATACTTCACACAACATTCTGAAGGATCATTTCCCATGTGAACAAGCTCATATTCAGTCCAAAGGTTAATAATCCCAGCATAGTACTCTTGGACCTTTCTTTCTCCTAGATTGTAGGAGAAGATGTCAACCTCTATCTGGTACTGTCTTGGGGTGTTTGATTGCAGATATACTCTCTCGAGATACTCATACATCTCATAGGAAATCCTAATAGGAATTGCAATGTCATTTTCAATGGATCCTAAGATCCATGATGCAATTTATGCATTATCAATTCTCCATTGATTAAGACCCTTGATGTCTGAATCATCAGGTTTCACTACTGATCCAGATATCCATAGAGACCTTTCGCCTCCACATGAAATTGGAAATTGAATTTCCAAAGAGCATAGTTCATACCATTAAACCTAATGGGGAGAATTTCCATCCTTTCTGATGCCATTGAATCACAAGAGCAAGAAAAACCACAGAAAGAAGTGTTCAAAACAGTAGAACAAAGAAGTACCTCTCAGTCGATGTCTAGAAAAGGAAACTGTAAGGGTCTGTTGAACTCTGAAGTGGCTCAAAACCCTTCTAAATCAAATCTGATTCAAACCAAACCAATTGGAAACAATAGATCTGCCCTGGGCAACACTAGATCTAAAGTTTCAGCCTGATCTGATGCTTCTAGAGGGAGATCCAAACCAAAAGAGAAATCTGGTGGTGCAGCAGTCCAGGAACAGAGTCTGTCATGTTCTGATTGAATTCAGCCTCAGAAATAGGATTCAAGGACACTCAAGAGCCTCAAAAATATTGTTAGGGAGTACTCTAGATAACAGATAAGAAAGGGGTGAAGAAGTTACTTGCAGATCAGATCATGACCTACTCTGATACCATGTCAGAGTCAGATCGAAAAACAGAGAAAGAGAAAGAGAGAGAGAGAGACAACACAGCCGAATGGTGGGTGTGACACCATGTGTCAGTCAACACCCTAAAAGTTATATTTATATTAAAAGGTAAAAGGACAAATCTGCTCTTAATATACAAAAGAAAGAGAATAAAGAATAGTTATACAACAAGAGAAAAGAAAAAGTACAAAATTAGTCCTACAGCACAAAATTAGCCCTACAGCTAGTTTCCTAGTTCTCTACATACTCAACTGTCCACTGCACCACCCAGAACAGCTTTCTTCGAACCACCAATTAGAGAGCTTCCTACAAACCACCACAAACCACTACAACACAAATCAGAGGCATGAAAACCTCCAAAAGAATATAAAAAGCGATCACTCCTTTTCAACCCTTTTCCTAATCTCCAAGTGGTTGTTGAGAAATCTGCATAACCCTAGAGTGAATGGAAATGGAAAAAAATTCTGGGCAGATCTGAACTTGTTATAGATGCTCTGATACCATGATAAAATTCAGATCTGTACCAGAATTAATTTAGGAATTACAGTAGAAAGACAGAGAAGAGAAAAGAAAGAAAGAAGAAGAGAAAAGAAGAGAAGAGAATAGAGGAGAAGAAAAGTCCAGTTCAAACAAGAGAATTCAATCTCCCTAGTCAGCCAATTTATATTTATAGTTTTATAAAGTAAAGCATAAAGACTGTTATGCCCCACCTTAAGTAAGAAGACCAAACTGCCCCTCTACAACTGACTAACAAACCCTATTGCTGGTAATATTAATGAACACAGTGGAAGAAAGTATAGAGGAAATTCTTCTAGGACATTATCAACAAGGAAATAATTTCAATGCATTTACTGAAAGAAAGGAAAGCTTCCAACACATTCTTCCTTGAATTTAGGTATGGCCCTGACAATGGTTGAAATAGATTATTAGTCATCAGGATACGCCTAGCTATTTAGTTCTCTCAATTTCTTTACCTACCATCTTTTCCTTTACATTGAGACAATGTGAATTCATCCTTTAAGTATTGGATTTTTATAATTTTATTTCATGTTGGAAGTATCCTTCTGGCAATTGGAAGGGTTTCTATCCTCCAACATGCATGCTGGCACTAATTTTATGGAATTCAACAATCAAATTTTGCCTACAGAAATTGATCCTTCCATAAGTTACTACAATAAATGAACTCCTATAGCTAAAACAAGTAAAAATATTGCACCTGTTTGTATCTATTTCAAAGTTAAAATGTTATCTCAAATAACATGATTAGGATCCCTAAAAAAGATCTCGTCATATGGTGCTTAATTGAGCCTTGTTTTTCTTATTCGTTATACCTATTTTTTTTTCTGAATTTCATATATAAATAAATGGATCTCTTTACAATTCCTTAACTGATTAATAATTTTTCCTATTGGAAGATTCACTTCTTTCGAGGATGATGCAAGAACCGAAGAGTCAAAATTGGAATTTTTTGAAATTTTATATACTTCTGTATTTTTGGACAAAATAGGGGGTATTTTTTCATTTTGAAATTTTCTGTGGGGTCCAATAATAGGGTTTAACTTGTTTACTTATAATTTGTTTATGTTTAAAATTTCAGAGTCATTGCACAAGTAGGATTAGAGTTATTGAGTCTTTTTTTAATTGAAATAGGATATGACAGTTTAGTTTGGGTCCTACTAGGATTATTAAGTCTAATAGTTTGGCTGCTAGGATTATTATGAGTTTAGAATCTATAAATATGTATGGACGTTTACACAAAGGCAATGAAGTTTATTGAATTTTCTTCAGCTTATGCTAACTATGTGATTCCCATGCTCTAGAGTGTTTCTAGGCACCCTGTGAGTATTTCCAAGCTTTTTTTCTCTTCTTTGTCTCCCTACTTTCTCTCTTATTCCTTCAAGAAGCCATTATAGCCATCAACAGCCATAAAATTCTGATCAAGAAGACCATTCAACATTCTCTAAGGACTAGAACTGAGCTGGTCCTACATCAGTTTGGTATCAGAGCTAATGGTTTATTCACTATGTTCTTACAAAGTGACCGATTCTATAGGCCTAGGGTATCTTCTAGACAATCTTACAGGTCTAGAATCAATGATGATTGGGTTTCTGAACGATATGAAGGGTCTTTGGTTGACTTATTTGACATGATGGTTGAAGAAAACATATCTAATAATGTTGGCTATGGGAGCAAGGTTTTCAAACATGTTAGAAGAGAAAGGGAAATACCAGATTTCAAAGGAGATGATGATTCGCAAGCGTTCTTTGATTGGGTTGCTGAACTAGAAGAATATTTTGATTAGCATGATATGTTTGACAAATAAAAGATTAGATTTGTGTGCATGAAGCTGATAGGTCATGCTAAAGTGTGGTGGAGAACTCTTGAGAAACAACTAGAAAATAGAGTTGATGATCCAATTAGTACATGGGCAGAGATGAAGAGGTGTTTGCAAGAAAAGTACAACTCACTAGACTTCCATGATGATCTATATATGGAGTTGACTAATTTCAAGCAAAAGAAGAAGCAGCAGGATACAACAAAGAACTTCAAGTCAATGGGAAGAAGGTAAAAAGTTGAAAAGGTAGTAGATGATTCGTTGCATATTGATGACTATTCAAGAGCTGAAGTTGAGGATGAAGCTAAAGGAGAAGTATTTCAAGATATAAAAGTTGTAGATAATTAAAATCAAGAGGATGCATGTCAAGAAAAGAATAGAAATTGCTGGAGTTTCCAACACCCATGATCAACTTGAGGTTAATGATCAAGAAAAAAATAAAGTGGAGCAAGTTAAAGAAATTCAGGTGCAAGATACAAATGTGCTGATTGTAGTAGATCCTAGTAAGGAAGTAAGTGACTTTACCTTTCAAGTTCAACTAGAACCAATTCAAGAATTACAACCTAACATAGCACAAGTTTCACCAACATCAAATATGGAAGGAAGGAGTCCTAGAGTTTGTTGAAGAAATGAGGATAGCAGAACACATTGAGATGGTGATTCTTAAGGTAGAGGTTGAAGGAAAAGTTCCAAATGTTGTAGTTGAGAGTTTGGATAAGCGAAGGGAAGATTCATCACAATCATTGGTTGATGAATTAAGTGTTCAAGAAACTAATGTTATTGATGATTTAACAAAGATGGTTATGGAGGGCAGTGTTTCAGAAATACATTTCTTTCAACATCTTTTTCTAGTTCTGTGTGTGGCCTCTACTCTACAGTCCAAGCACGTAGTTGTGGGAAGTCCTACTCTTTTTGTAATAGGGGCATATCAATTTTTCATCCTCAAGTTCTTCAAAACTCGAGGTCGAGTTTTATTGAACTGGGGAAGAATGATGCAGGAGCTGAAGAGTAAAAATTGGAGTTTTATGAAATTTTATATTCTTTTGCATTTTTTGGACAGTAGGGGTATTTTTGTCATTTTCAATTTTCTGTGGGGTCCAATGATAGGGTTTAGTTTGTCTAGTTATAGTTTGTTATGTTTAAAATTTGAGAGTCATTGCATAAGTAGGATTAGAGTTATCGAGTCTTCTTTGAATTGAAATGGGATATGACAGTTTAGTTTGAGTCCTACTAGGATTATTTAGTCTAATAGTTTGACTCCTAAGACTATTATAACAGTTTGACTCCTAGGAATATTACGAGTTTAGAGTCTATAAATATGTATGGACATTTACACAAAGGCAATGAAGTTTATTGAGTTTTCTTCAGCTTATGCTAACTATGGTGACTGATTCTCATGCCCTAGAGTGATTCTAGGCACCCTGTGAGTGATTCCAGGTATTTTCTCTCTTCTTTCTCTCCCTAGTTTCTCTCTTATCCCTTCAACAAGCCATTACAGCCATCAACAGCCATAAAATTATGATCAAGAAGACCATTCAACATTCTCTAAGGACTAGAACTGAGCTGGTCCTACATCAAAGGGGCATTCTGTAATTGCCATTCTTGTCTCTGCTCTTATGTCATAATCTCTTGTTATATTTAAGTCACACTTTAACACTAATTCGAATATGTTCTACCAGGTGTTCAGTCTGCTTACTGGGGGATGCTTGATGAAGGAAGAATAACTCAAACTACAGCAAATCTTTTGATGCAATCAGTTGATCAAGCAATTGATTTAATATCTCACGAGTCTCTATGTGACTGGAAAAGTCTGAAAGATCATGTTCATTTTCCAAGTTATTATAAGCTCCTCCAGACGACCTTTTGTCCTCAAAAGTTGGTAACATATTTCACAGTGGAAAGGTTAGAGTCTGCGTGTTATATTTGTGCTGCATTTCTCCGTGCACACAGAATTGCAAGGAGGCAACTACATGAGTTCATTGGTATGGACCTTCATTTAACCTGTAAACCTAGTTCATTTCAGTTCATAGTATAATTTTTTTATATAAAAAATTACATTGCATCACATTATGGTAAAATTTGTACATAGCATATTTTTAAAGCTTTCTGCATGTTGAGTACAGTACTATGTTTTATTCTTGTAAGTTGTCTGATAAGGTGCATACTTGTGATTGTCCTCACTTTATATATCATATATAAATAAAATTGGGCTGCACATGCACCCCAAGACTGATTTCTTTAAACTAGACTCTCTCCTTTCTTCTTTCTAAATTTCTTTGCTCCTCTCCTGATTTTATCCATTCAAACAATTGTTTCTTATTCTTTTGCTGGTTGAACAAAACAAGCCAGTAGCAAAGCCAGGTTTTACAATTCTCATGGGAAAGCCAATTTGAGTCTATGATTACATGAGGTATTAAAAGACTTAATCATTCCTTATTGATCACTTGATTTTCATAGGATTTTTTGGACACTTTTGGTGTTGTTTCTGGTTCATGGGAGTGCTTTCAACGGTTCTTCCCAATAAAGGGAAAAATCAGAGTTTCAGTATTCCTTGGTCATTGATGCCCTAAAAGGGGGTTTAGAATTGTCATTCTGGCGTAGAAAAAAATCTCTTTGATATTTCTATAGTGGGTGGTTTAAGTTTCATGGAGATCTAAAGCTTCTGGAAAAAGAACCACTGGTGTTAAGCCTGACCTGGCCCATGATCAACCCTAATTACTAAACAAAGATCACAGATCCACATCATAGTAGATGGGTGCAGGGGAACCATATGGTAATGTCTTGGCTTGTCAATTCAATGCAACCTAATATCTGCAGAATTTAGTTTTAGATGAATATTGGAAAGGAGATTTGAGATAGTGTTGCAGAAACCCATTCTTAAGTGCTGAATGTGGCTACAGTATTTCTTTTTGGAAGGGTAAATTCATTAAAGTAAAAAAGTACAGCAGGTCATAAGATATCACCAACAGCCTGAAAATCCACTCAAGAGAGCCAATACAATCTCAACTTACAACCATGAGAGTTGTCCAAACACCCAAAAGAAAAACGAAAACACAGACCCAATCATCCCCAAAAACAAGAGCCACAAGCCCGACACTAACAAAAGCAAATCACCCTATTCTAAAACCTGCATCATTCTTCATCTGTGAGTGTATCTTCTTGGGTTGAGAAATCCTCGTTCTATGCCCCTTTTCTTTGTGACAGGGCTTTATTTTTCTCTCTCTTCCTTTCTTCTTCTTTCAAATTCCTTGAACGCTTTGCTAGCAAATTCCTCACCGCCCCAGAAAAATAGGCCCAAGCATTTCCCAATTGTGACTTCTCTATCAACTATATTTTATAATGTCAGACCTCTGGAATCTTCTTCAACTACATCAGTATTCTGTGGCAGTCAGACCACAGTAGGGTCAGAACCGTCACCACTCCTTTTGTCTTCTGATATTCCTTCAACATAGGGGTAGCTGATGACTGATTTGGCAGTCACCCCCCTATGGTCAGAGTTGGTAGTCTCATTACCTCTCCATCTTTTTCTTCTGTACACCCATTTGAATTTTTTTTGCACGTCCTACACCTGCCACCTCTCCATCTTTGTCACACGAACAATATTGTGAGATCTTGATTTGCACATTTTCTTGTTAATTATCCCATTAGTCTGATCCTCCTCCTTCTCTTCAAGATTAATTTTTCAACCCAACTCAACAGCCAGCCTACTGATCTCAACCTCCTCATAACGCCAACCTTCGAACTGCCTTTCGGCCTGCCCTCCACTAAGCTCATCATCACAGGAAATTTCCTTTTCCTCAGCCTTGCCCTCAACTACCAACTCAACACCAGTACCAACGATCCTTTCCCTGGCTTTTTCCTCACCCCCCCCCTTCCAGCCTCACTGATTCAGCAGAGGCCACAACCTCTGGAAGCAGAAAAACTGGGCTTCCAGAATTGCAGCTTGTTCCTCCGAACTCTGGGGATACACATTTCCCAACAGGCTCCTTACCGATCAGAGAGGAAGGCCAGCATCGCCAATCACAAAAGATGGATCATCGTCGAGCAGCTTTCTAAGACCACTAATGATCCTCTTTTTACCACTTTTGTCAAACCTAGCTGTCAGCCAAATCCACATCCTATCCTTTCCTTTTCTAGCCTCTACCACAGTCCTCTTTGTTACTCCGTTTCTTTTCAGCATTGGCTTTAAAGGCCCTAAGAAGCTTATATTCCCGTCCTTCCTTTCCATGAAACGATTTTCCTTCCTGCCTAACAGCAAGGCAGTTTTGAAAACTTGGTCAGCTCTCAACCTACCTAAAGATGAGAAAAGTCTTTCGGATGAGATCCCTGAACTGCATCTGGCCGAGAGCTATTAGACTCGACAATGAACTCTCGAGCATCCCTTTTAAAAGCTAACTTGTCGGGACAATCCAACAAGTTGCTAAAGTCCCTCTGAATTCCACCTGGTTTGGAGCAAACGCCCTGAAACCCAACCCAATCTTTTTACCTACTTCATTACCCAACCGACCATGTTAAACCTATCAGAAGAGTAGAAATCACTAATTGCAGATTTAGTCGAGTTTCTTGTGAAAGGAAAGAGGGGGAAGATGAAGATTTCAGCAGTAGAGAAGAAAGGAGAAGAAGAAAAGAGTAGGAAGTTAACCAGGATTGTAAAATTAACCCTAGCCGCCTACCTCTCATTATATTTATACTTAACTTAAAGGATGAG